GTGGTGAATTTCTTCTTTTTCTTCGGTTTGATGCTTTCCTGGCTATCCTCGCTGTCGGAAGGGGGAAAGGAGCCATGGGGGCCCTGGGACTGGGTCTGAGTGGAACTGGTGAGAGTGTTACTGAGGGTCCATTCTGTGTCTAATGTGGAAGATGKGGCCTCCATCGATTCATCCTCAGCCGGGGGAGTTGATTCATCCTCATCCGGGGGCATTGATGCAGCCTCCTCCGGGGGCATCGATGCATCCTCATCCAGGGGCATCGATTCCTCCGAGGGCATCGATTCACTGTCTGCTTCCTCAGCCGGGGGCATAGATTCATCATCCTGGATGGAGTCCTCCCCTGAGTAACAGGAAAGAGACTGATCCAGATAATCCTGGAGGGGGGTTTCGGTTCGGTCGGTGGTGGCGTGTCGTGGGTATTTTTGTTTTCTTTTTCTTTAGTATCGGTGGTGAGTGAATATGAATGAGTGGAGGGACATGCAATGGTGATAGATGTAGGTTGCCGGGTTCTAGAAAGCCGCTTCTGGAGCCTAGCAGCAACTGTTTGAAGTACAGTGGGGGGGGTCAGGGTCTTCTTCGGAATCGTCGTCGGATTCCGAGGGATCACTTCTAAAGCAATGACCTTGGAGACTGGAGGAGGCGCCGAGGTCTTTAGAGTGCTGGGAAAAAGCTCAGTGAGCTTGGGGGAAGGCTCAGTGGGTCCCTTTGGGAGGGGAGGGTCCGTACTGGTTGGATCCGGAGGGTCCTTGTTACCCTTTGGGTTGGGCCCGGTCATGGTCGATTGTTCCTGATAGTTCAAAGGTGCGAGTCTGAATTGTTGTTGTGTAGGATGTAGTACTAATTCTAGGTATAATTTTCAAGAAAAAATCGTATCTTCGTGCGAAGATGAAAAACTGCGTTTGCGAAAATTCGTTTTGAAAATTATGAATATGCAATTGCAAATAACATTGCAGATGAAGCTAATTTCAGGTGGTGGGTTCACAAGGTGATCAGAAGAGCCAAAAGGATTATCAAAGCAGTTAAGAGCAATAAATATTGACTCCGCACTCACAAATATGGAGTCGAACTCCCACATTCTATAAAGGAGGCAATTGCGATTGATAAGAAAACCGGGACTGACTATTGGGCCAAAGCTGTTTGCAAGGAAATGACCAATAACATGGTTGCATTTCAGTTCAATGAGAAAGATCAAATTCCGGTTGGCCACGAGAAAATTACGGCGCATATGGTGTTTGACATAAAACTGGGGACGTTAACAAGAAAGGCCAGACTATGTGGTGACGGTCATAAAGTCCCAGCTTTGTCACAAGAATACACCTACTTGAGTGTGCCCAGCCGTGATTCTGTTAGGATCTTCTTCATGCTGGCAGCCTTGAATGATTTGGATGTACTATCTGCTGATATCCAGAACGCTTATCTGACAGCCGCGATAAAGGAGAGATACTACATGATTGCTACTGCTGAGTGTGGTTTCTCAGAGGAATATGTCGGGCGGCCATGTAAGATTGTCAGAGCGCTATATGGTTTGCCTGTTGCTGGTGCGTCCTTCAGAGCATATCTTACAAGCCACCTGAGAGAGCTTGGTTATATTTCATGTAAAGCTGACCMTGATGTGCACATGCGAAAAGAGGTGAGACCTGATGGTACTTTGTATTGGGCCTACCTGATTGCGTATGTGGATGACATCTTGTGCTGTGGTATGAAGCCAAGACTGATGTTGGAATCAATTGAAAAGAGGTTCACATTGAAAGATGGAACTATTGAAGAGCCTACTTTATATCTTGGTGCTGATATCAGTCGACACCAGATTCCTGGTCTCAACATCAAGAGATGGGCTATGTCAGCTGAAAAATACACTGAGAAGGCAATTCAAGCTGTGGAACATGAGCTGGGGACAGAAAAATATGATTATAAGTACCTACCGAAGAAGAAGATCAGCACTCCCCTATCTCCTGATTACAGACCTGAAATTGACCCTACAGAAGAATTGGACAAGCGRACGCAGAACTACTATCAAGGTTTGATTGGTGTGTTGAGATGGCTATGTGAGCTCGGGAGACTGGATATTATACATCCCGTCTCATTGCTTTCAAGATATCTTGCCCAAGCACGGATTGGCCATTTGAATCAGGCTTTCCGAATATTTGCCTACCTAAAGCAACACAAGAAATCCAAGTTAGTGTTTGATGACACTGAGCCTTTGATAAATGAAAAACACTTTTCTGACTGCGACTGGTCCGAATTCTACCCAGAAGCCAAGGAGGTATTGCCATCAGATATGCCTGAAGCTTTGGGAAAGCCTGTTGTGATGAATTGCTTTGTGGATGCCGATCACGCGGGGTGCACTGCTACGAGACGTTCTCATACAGGAATCCTTATATACCTCAACAGATCTCCTATTCTATGGTATTCTAAAAGACAGACAACTGTGGAAACATCTACATTTGGTTCTGAGATTGTTGCCATGAGAATTGCAATCGAGATGATTGAGGGTCTGAGATATAAGTTAAGGATGATGGGGGTACCTATTACAGGTGCAACCAATGTCTTCTGTGACAATGACAGTGTTGTTAAGAATGTTACTAGGCCAGAGAGCCCATGCAAGAAGAAACACAACAGCGTCGCATATCACAAAGCTTGTGAGAGTGTTGCATCTGGTGCTGTTAGAATTGCCAAGGTTCCTGGGACAGAAAACACTGCTGATTTGCTCACAAAACTAGTCGGTGGTGCACTCTTCAAAGAACATTGCAGAAGATGCATGTACCCATTCTGAAAATAGGCTGATACAATACACTGTTGAAGTGGCAAAATGCCACTGCAGTGAGGATCAAGAGGATCTGCCCCGTATCATATAGCCGGGCCTCTGATATCATTTAAGGGTGTGTACTGTACAGGCAAAACTGTGCAAAATTACCTATGCTCGATGAAACGCGAAAGACTGGGTTAAGTATCGGTGACGGTACAAGCGAAAACCTGTATCGATTGGTTGACTCATTGCAACTCACCTGATTGATTTTTGTAAGTTCGATTCATTTGATCTTATTTTCATTTGACTAAACTGAATAGATCTTACGGGGACTGTGAAAATCACTCGTGGATTGAGTTGAATCACTCGTACGATACGAATGAATGAATCGTACGGACATTATGATTAAGGTTAGAGTTAAACCGTATCCCAGGATCGAATCGTACCTTCATACGATACAACGATTAGGGTTAAGGTTAAACTAAGGTTGAATCGTATCTTTGGATTGAATCGTACGAATCATCGAACCATACCGATCTTTCCAAATCGATCGAAAATACACAGCAAACAGCAAGCAGCTGTTTGATCACACTTCTTCTTTTCTTTAACATCTAAAACACCCTATCATGCCCTCATACCATGATAATCTTTATCTCAGCTAAGTTCCTAGTGTATATTATAGTGTATTCACCTGTTATATCAACACTACACTAACTGCCTATTGCGCACGTGATTTTTACACGGTACTGAATCAACACTCATCCTAGAGGAATTGGACTCCTCCTCCGCCTCCTCGGTGAGCTTTGTCTTCTTTTTCTGCTGGTGAAGGGTGCTTGTGCTGTCCTCGCTGCTGGAATCTATGGTTGGCCATGACGCTGCCCATGAAGGCCAGCGGGTCCTAAGACCAGGAACTTGTCAGTTTCCAGCTACTGAAGAAGACTCATCCAGAGACTCATCCGGGGACTCGTCCGGAGCCTCAGCCGGAGACTCCTCCGGAGACTCCTCCGGAGATTCATCCGGAGACTCAACCGGAGATTGGGAGACTCATCCGGAGATTCATCTTGAGACTCATCCGGAGGCAATTCCTCCAGAGGTGATGGCTCCGGAGACATCGATTCATCCTCCATAGTAGACATCGATACATCGTCTTCCAGCTGGAGGGGATGGGGCCGGTGTTGTGGTGTGATTATTTTTGTTTTTGGTTGCTTTTTCTTTGGTTTTTGTCTGTGAAGTTGTATAGTAGGCTGAATATGAATGTGCATGAGTGGAGGGACATGTAATAGTGATTGATGTAACTTTGGGGAATCCGGGGCCTCTAGAGAGCCTGCGCTGGAGTCGAGCGGCGCATGTGTTAAGGACTTTCCTGGGGGTCTTCTTTGGAATCATAGCTCTTTCCACCACTTCAACAGATGAGTCAGAGCTTTCTAGGAGGTCCCAAGGCGATTTAGACGTTTCCTGTCCCTTTAGAGGGGCTGTGGAGGCTGGTGTGACCTTGGCCTTGGGGGCGTAGCGGGGAAGGACCGGGGCCATTTCCAGACCGAGGACCTTCGAGCCATGCTTTTTGAAAGGCTGGTGGGATCCTTGTGGGGATAGAGCAGTGTCCTGGGTGATATCCTGGTCCTTGGCACTAGGACTCTGGGGGCCGGGATCGGTGGGGACCTTGGGAGCGGTGGGGACCTCGGGATTGGTGGGGATCTCGGGATCGGGGACCACTTCCATTGCAGTGATCTTGGATCTGGCGAAAAGTGGAGTACTGGGTTTGAAAGGAGCCGGAGGCCCCTGGAATGGAGCTGGGAGCTCCTTGAAAGGCTTGGTGTGTCCCTGGGGGGATGGGGGATCCTTAGTTGGATCCGGAGGGTCCTTGCCCTTTGGGGTGGGCCCGGTCATGGTTCCTGATAGTCGGAAGGTGCGAGTCTGAGTGGTGTTGTGTAGAATCTAGTACTAATTCTAAGTATAATTTTCAATAGAGAATCGTATCTTCGTGCGAAGATGAAACACGGCTGCGTTTGAAAAAATTCGTTTTGAAAATTATGGTGTTCTTGATATTAAGAGTCCAGATCATAAGGGCTTGATTCATCAATGTCTTCTTTAGAGCATTCAGTTTGCCTCCGACATTCTTATAGAATAAGTAGTCTTCAGTTAATCCATCGTTGGTAGGAACCTTCTTGGTGAACATCTCATACATCACTTTGTCTCCTGGTGTGTTCGATTCTGGATCAGTAGCGTCAAGGATTGTACGAACAAATCGATTGAGACATCCTTTTCTCTTTTTTGCATACCCCTTGCTGCTTGATTCAGCTGTTGCATACTCATCACTTCCCAGAGTGTTGAAGGCGTTTGGATTGTTGATCAGCTTCTTTGCATATTCAAACTGTGTTAATTCCCCCCCCTCTGCTTCCGATTCGACGACAGCAGCGGTGGTGGTGGCAGCGGCAACAGCTGCTGGTGGGGGAGGCGCCAGTGCTGGTGCCGGTGCAGTTGTTTTTTTCTTCATTGCTGCTGCTGGTGGAGCTTTCTTTTTGTTTGCTGCTGGGGCCTTCTTTTTGTTCTTGCTATTCTTGTTCGCTGTCGTGGAGGATACTGTGCGTTTCTTCTTGTTATTCGTGTACAGATTACGGATTGGTGGTCTTCGATTTACTGCTGGTGTTGCTGTGGTCTTGTCTGCTTGATCTAGAGATACTCTTCTTGGTTTAGTTTTTGTTGCAGTTTCTTCTTCTTCTGGCGCCAACTGGATTCTTTCCCTCCTTGTTGTTGGTGCGCTTCTTTGACTGGGCACCACCGCCGACGGCGCCTTCTTCTTCTTTCTTCCAGGACAGGTGTTTTCTTCTGTCCGCCAACTTACCTCAGCACCAATCGCCTTCAAGGCTGGATCTGCTGTTCCCTGAGAGGAGAACAGCTTGTTTTTCTTCTGTGCGCTGTACTGTGAAAGTTCTCTCAACATCTCCCTGCTTTCTGGCCAAGCGCCGCAGTCGACGCTGTCGTCATCCTTCTTCTTCTTAGCCGGAGGCTTTGCCGGAGGTGTGGTTGATTTGTTGCTTCTGGTCCTCATGGTCTGCTGCTGCTGTTTCTTTTTTTGTGTTTTGCTTGTTCCCCCCTGCAAATAGTGTGTTTTTCGATATTTCTACGGTATTTCTACGTGAGCTTTGTACTGGAATAGCAAAAAAGATCAGTTTTCATCGAAAACTGTCACGATTTTGGTCAGTGCTTGTACTGTAATTAGTGTTCAGTACTGAATTCAGTACTGAATATCGTGAGCAACCAAGACAGTTTTTAGTATCTGTTGTGGTTACATGTGGTTACAGGCGCGCAAGGGCGCACCGTGCGCCTGTTTTTGTAACCAGACCCAGTTTTTTTGTAACCATATTGTAACCAGACTAGCAGTAGTATCATGTAAAAATATGGGCTCTCCTTAAGGAAGGGTTTGGTTACAAATTCTGGTTACAAAATTCAGTCCGCGCCGTTGAGCAGCTCAACATTTTCATGTACTCAGCTCGCGTGGTATTTTTTAGGTACACGATTTGTTGAGAAGCTCACGCCGTACAAACACTAGTTATTTTTTGCCTAAGTACATGCACCTCAACTGGTTACAAACCGCGCGGACTGAATTTTGTAACCAGAATTTTGTAACCAAACCCTTCCTTAAGGAGAGCCCATATTTTTACACGATACTACTAGTAGTGTGGTTACCAAAAAAAAGGGTCTGGTTACAAAAACAGGTGCACTGGTTCCCTTGTGCACGCTTGTAACCAGGAATTTGCACCTCAACAGGTACAAACTAAAAAACTGTCTTCACTACTACTGTGAATACGTAGTATCAGTAATTGTACACAGTATCTGTACTGTACTAAAAAATGAGAGCAAACTGATCTTGATTGCTATTCCAGTACAAACTCATGTAGAAAACACCGTAGAAATATTGATTTGCAGGGGGAAACAAGCAAAAAAACAAGCAAAACACGAAAAAGCAACACCAGCAGCAGTAACTCATATCCTAGCAGCGGCTCCGTATCATATCAGCGGCTCTCTCCTCCGTAGTATTGTATCGTCGTCAGCAACTCCTCGTATCGTATCAGTGGCTCTCTCCTCTGTATCGTATCGTCAGCTCGTATCGTATCAGCGGCTCGCTCCTCTGTATCGTATCAGCGGCTCGCTCCTCCGTATCATATCAGCAACTTGTATCGTATCAGCAATAGCAACTCGTACTATCGTATCAGCAACTCGTATCGTATCAGCGGCTTGCTCCTCCGTATTAGTGAACGTCCTCCGTATCAGCATCCTCCGTATCAGCCAGTGTCCTCCATATCAACGATTGGCTGCTGAGTACATGAAAATGTTGAACTGCTTCAACGGTTACGTAAATAAATGTGGAAGAGCTCCGCGTCAGCCCAACAAGTACTTTCTTCAGCAACACCAACAACAAGCTCTCGAGCTAAAGCTCTCAAGCTTGTTGGTGGTGTTGCTGCAACGGACGTACGTACCGATGAATCGTTACGATACGAAGCTCCGAAGAAAGGAATGAAGGATCATACCGTTCCTACGTACCTATCGTAAGGTACACTTCCTATGTATGTATCATAGGATGTATCGTAAGAGGTCCGAGGTCTAAGATACTATTCAAGAATACCTCACGAAGAAAAGAGATGTCACGAGTCCGGAATAGAGAAGCTTCACGTAGAATCCCTACCAGGTCTACATAAAAAAACCATTTTGGCACAATATGTTTCAACACGTGTACTGAACCTCCTCAAGCTCAGCGAGGAGGTAGGAATAAGTCACTAGATGACTCGATCTATTCTTTGTTTGCTGTGTAAGAAATTTAATGTCTTGCTTAATTTTCGCTTTTAATGCGCAGAAATAATCTGCGTTTACAGAACTTGAACCAGAACTCAAGAAGGTCAAAGGTCGAAACAATAATTGCACTTCCTCGGGCACCTCTCTTTCACAAATGTGTTTCTTCCTCGAAATCGAACTCCTTGGTCGCATTGATTTCTTCCCACATCCTTGCACTTCACTTTCTCACCGTTCAGTCTGAATTTCTTTTTCGAGTTTTTGCACACGCATCGGAGCTGACAGGTGAAAGTACATTTCGTACTCACCAATTCTCCATCGGTGTCTTTTTTGTCGCACCTCTTTTCGGTTAAGGTGGGTCTTGAGGCAACCCACTCGCAGTTCCTTCCCTCACGATTTTGGAAAAGGAAGTCGGGATCATCTTCACCACACTGTGTTTCTGGCGAGATGGTTGGTTCCGAAGTTTTGGGAGTTGGAGTGGGCACAAATTCTTCGCACTCGGGATTGCACGAAAGGGGACAGGCATCGGCCACAGCCACGTTAGTCACACTGTCAACCTTAGCGCATCGTATATCGACCCTATCCGGGTTCTCGCGGGCCCATTCGCAGTTGCGATTCTCGTTTGCGTCAAGGAGGAAATCCGGATCGTCAACGCAATTCACACTTGGCGCCGCTGACGGACCACCTGGAAGCGTTGGAGTGCTGGAGGGTGACACGGAAGGAGACGACGACGGAGAGCCGGAGGGTGACACGGAAGGAGACGACGACGGCGATGTGCTCGGAGATGCAGACGGTCTGTCAGAAGGAGAAGCCGAGGGACTTCCAGATGGGGCGATTGACGGAGGCGCAGAAGGTGCCACCGACGGACTCGACGACGGCATTGACGAGGGGGCATCGGAAGGTTCGTATGTCTGTCCCTTGAAGGTCGGGCGCACACTAACGGTTGGTCGGAACGATGGAGTCGACGAAGGAATCTTCGATGAAGATGGCGACATAGAAGGCGAGGATGACGGACTGACAGAAGGTGATTCGGATGGATGGACAGAAGGTAACGCCGAAGGCATTGCGGATGGACTTGCAGACGGCGCAGCGGAAGGATTCGCTGATAAAGACGGAGATGCCGACGGAGACGCCGACGGAGCCGCCGAGGGTGCTGCGGAGGGATTAATTGACAACGACGGCTGTCCACTGGGGATATCGCTAGGAGACAGACTGGGCAAATTCGATGGTAACGTACTTGGACTCAAGCTTGGCAAATTGCTTGGAATAGAGGAAGGGAGTGTACTTGGTGCCGAAGAAACCAGATCAGCGCAAACCGGGAGAGTTGAGTAGTTGGGGTTGATAGCGGTGGTACAGGGAGCCGTTGGGTCCTTACAAGGAACTTGTTGATTAGGGTGGCAACGGTTGTAGTTCCTGGCCAAGTCGGCACAAATGGAGAGCGTAGAAGGTGCTGGATTGTCTGCGACCTGACATGGTGTTGCAGGGTTCAAACATGGGGCGTTTTGACTTGTGTGACAACGATTGAGAGAACTATTGACTGAGAGATCAGCGCAAATACTCAATCCTGTGATATCTATTCCAAAAGGACATGGTTGTGCTGGATTGATACAAGGAGTCCTCTGAAGCGGATCACAGCGATTAAACCCACTCGCCAAGTCTTCGCAAACCTTCAGTGTCTGCCATGCGGGATTCAACGACGCATTGCACGGTGATGCCGGGTCTATACATGCTTTATTGAACGGCTGACGAACGGAACAACGAGGAATCGTTGTATCAGCGTGTACCAGGTCAGGACAAACCGCTAGTGGAGTTGGGGTTGCTGTCGAGGTTGGACATTCGATAGTGGGGTCAATACACGGAGAGTGATTTCTCCTGTCGCATCTGTTCACAAGATATGCTCTATCTGCGCAAATTTTCAAATCTCCTGGATTCGGATTTTCAGTAGCTTCACAAACCGATTCAGTAGGATCTATGCACGGATATGGTTGTCTTTCGTCTCCTTGGTTACGACAGCGCTTTTGGCCAGCAATGACATTTGGATCTTGCCTGGCAGGATAACCAGTCACAGCTGTCCATGACTCATGTGTGCACAGAGGTGGACGGAAAGTGAGGTTTGGACAAAAATCTTCATCTGCGTTCAGACACTTAGTTGTCACCTGGGGACTACAAGTAAGTTCTTGTTCCGGACAAAAGTTACTAGCATCTCCAGCTTCGTAACATGCCGTCACTCCTTCGGTGCCATCGTTTGCTCTGGCTATAGGGAAATTGCGAGAGAAACATGCTGCGTTCAGATTCTTTGTGAAACAACGACTCATCGCCGCAGTTTCAGTGAGAGTGTTTTCCTCGCAAAAATTCATTTCATCAAGGGCAGTTCCTGCCGCCTCTGCATTGTCATAACCCAAGTCTTCATTTCCTCTAACACAAACTTCTGTGTCATGAATGCAGCGTACCTCTGCGGCACCGGCGTTGGGAGCGTCGGCACGATTATCGTTGTGACAAGGAATCGCAACCCCATTCCCACGTCGCAATGCAACCTTGTCTGCACATGTTTGCAGACTGGCACGACCTGGAGTCAGATACGGACACTTTTGCATGGGATCGATGCACGGAGCTTGTTGCCGGGAATCACACCTCATTGTTTGAGCGTTCTCAACCATATTTGCACAGATTTTCAGGGAGGATGGATCAGCGTTTTCTGAAAACGGACAATCTTTTGCGATGTCGTCTGGCGAACCCTTTGTTCCAGTTGTACTGACTGTTGGATCAATACAAGGAGAAATTTGTCTTGCATTGCAACGATTTTTAGTTAAGGCTAAATCCGAACAGATAAATAGACTATCCAAAGGCCTTGTACATAGAGACAAAGATTCAGTTGGATTGATGCACGCATTCACACTTTGGTTGCATCGCAGGACACCAGTTGTTGGCGTAACATCACCACATAAATCGGCTGGTCTGGCTTCACCAAGATGAAAACAATCTTGCAGCGGATGAAGACAAGCATCTCGCTGTTGCTCAAGGCAACGATTATGTGTATGCGCAATTTCCTGACAAAATTTCATATTACCAAGGGCAGCTTCTGCCGCATCTGCATCGTCATAACCCAAGGCTACATGATTCGAAGCCCTACAAACAGTAAGATCATGAATGCAGCGTACCTCTGGGTCACCACCGTTGGGAGCGTCGGCACGATTTTCGTTGTGACAAGGAATATCATTACGTCGCGCGTCAGCCCTGTCTGGGCAAATGCTAATCGTTGTGCGAAAAGCTTGGTTCGTAGTAGCAGAATATGGGCAAGGGGCCACAGGATCAAAACAAGGCGCAATATGGCGAGAATCACAACGAGGTACAGTGTCGGCCACGTCAGCACAAATTTTGAGATCAGAAACGTCCCCAGTACAATCTGCAATGTTCTCAGCTGGATTGATACAGGGTGCTACTGCTTGATTACACCGCAAAACGCCGGTGGATACCGGCGCATCCGGGCATCTCGTTAGGCCTGTTCTCGTGTGGTCGAAACAATCCTCAAGAGGATGAATGCAACTCGCTATCTGTTTAGCGTCGCAACGATCCTTCGTGTGCGAGATCTCTGAACAATAATTCATATTATTAAGGGCAGCTTCTGCCGCATCTGCATCGTCATAACCCAAGTCTGCATGATTCGTTTTAACACAAACAGTTGTGTCATGAATGCAGCGTACCTCTGCGGCATCGGTGGGATTGCCGGCACGATTATCGTTGTGACAAGGAATATCATTACGTCGCAATGCAGCCCTGTCTGGGCAAACGTTAAGCGTTAAACGAAAAGCTCGGTTTGCATGTTCGTACGGACAATCGGCAAGAGGATCAAAGCAAGGCGCAAGCTGGCGAGAATCGCAACGGGCGCTAGAATGTGCCAAGTCAGCACAAATTCTGAGTGAAGAAACGTCCCCAGTACAATCTGCAATATTATCAGCTGGATTGATACAGGGTGCTACTGCTTGATTACACCGCTTCACACCTGTGCTTACCGGCGCATCCGGGCATCTCGTTAGGCCATTTCTGTTATGGGTGAAACAATCCTCAAGAGGATGAATGCAACTCGATATCTGTTTAGCGTCGCAACGATCCTTCGTGTGCGAGATCTCTGAACAATAATTCATATTACCAAGGGCAGCTTCTGCCGCATCTGCATCGTCATAACCCAAGTTTGCAAAATTCGTTTTAACACAAATAGTTGTGTCATGAATGCAGCGTGCTTCTGCGGCATCAGCGGGATTGTTGGCACGATTATCGTTGTGACAAGGAATCGCATTACGTCGCAATTCAGCCTTGTCGAGACACACAGGCAAAGTCCTTCGTCTTGGATTATCTTTGGCGACAACGGAATACGGACATTCGGTCAGCGGGTCATAACATGGGACMAGCTGTCTCAAATCGCATCTCGTCACACCACCTTGAGATTTCAAGTCGTTACAAATACTTAAGTCGGCAAAGCTAGGGTTGAGAGCTGAGGTACACTCTTGGCCTGATCGCGGGTCAATGCATGGATGTGCTTGTTGCGCCGAACAACGATTTATTCCTGCCGTAGGAGTAAGTTCAGTACATATGCTCAAAGTGCTTGCGTTTGATTCCCAACAATCCTGAGACGGATCAATGCAAGGTCTGAACTGCCGGGCTTTGCAACGCAAGTCTCTGTGGGCTAGGTCTTCGCAGAACTTGGGATTAGTTCCCATGTAATTGGTGAATTCCTCAGTACTTAAACCAGAACTAGCTTCTGTACATTCGAAACCTTG